AGAATTCAGTCTTTTAATAATAATAATGAGAATAAGAATATCATCACCACCACCACCAACAGCAACAACAACACCACCACTACCAAAGACAACTCCACCCCCACCAACACTATTAATATTGAATAATTGGTAAATCAGTTAATCACTACGTATAAATGTTAAATTGTTTTTTTTCATATCATAAAATGATAATGGATACCAAATTGAACTTCTAATGATTGTTATACCATAGTGACTAGTGTTTAATTAAGTACTTTTATTATTATTATTATTATTACTTATATAGAAACAAAACAGCAACAAACAAAAAAAGAATCAAACATTCAATGATTTGTATTGATAATGTTATGGTCGGTGTACTTTATTCTAAATATCGAATGACTTATTGTGTATTATTCTGTTTATGAATGTGTTGAATTCTATTCATTCATATACAAAATATATGATGATGATGATGATTATGGAAACGTCTTCGATATTATAGGGTGAATAGTTAAGAATTACTATGTTCTTACTAATGACTAGGTTCATGAGGGAATTCTTGAAGTTCTAATAAAAAGCCATAACCATAATCTACCTCATTACAATGGAAGATGGTCACACAATTTTGTGGATTGGTTAAGCTTACACATTAACATTGTTGGATACCGACTCAGTAGTTTAGAGGTTAAGCATCTTGGGTTCGAATTCCATATGCGGGATTATGGATGGGCATTTTTGAAGAGTCCTATGCTAGGATAAAACGACCGTCCATTGCTTCCAGGTTTTCAGTAGTAGTTTAACATCAATCGGTTCATGACATCAATCAAAAACTTAATAATCTCCATAACCCTATGCTGAAAAACACGAATGTCATATGGAATTCATATGACGAACTACAGTGCAAAATGTGAATGGGGGATAGCTGACAAATGCATTCCAAGTCTACTCTATTCCTTCTTCTTTATTCTAGTAATTGACTGGATTATGAAGACCTCTACATGTGAGGGTAAACACGGAATATAATGGACAATTTCGATGCAAAAAGACGATTTGAACTATGCAGATGACCTTGCCCTTCTATCCCATACACATGAACAAATACAAGTGAAGACAACTCGTGTAGCAGCAGCTTCTGCACCAATAGGCCTCAACATACACATGGGAAAAAACAAGATCTTCAAATACAACGTGCAGAACACTAACTCAATCACACTTGATGAAGAACTTCTGGAAGATGTGGAATCTTTCACGTACCTGAACAGAGTCATCGATGAAGATCTAATGCAGACGTGAAGGCAGGGATAGGCAAGACATGTGTAGCATGTCCGCAATCGAGGAACATATGGAACTCAAATCAACTATCTATCTACCAATATCCACCAATATTTATAAACAATTGTTTACACAACATACTCAATATTCGTTGGCCGGATACCATTAACTACAGCCTACTGTGGGAGAGGACAAAGCATCTTCTAATTGAAGCGGAAATCAGGAAATAATGCTGGAGGTGGATAGGACATACATTGTGAAAATCATCAAACTGCATCTCGAGGTAAGCACTAACTTGGAATCCTGAAGAGGAACGGAAAAGTAGGAGACCAAAGAACACACCGATTTAGGAATTAGAAGCAGATATCGAGAGGATGAATAGTATCTGTAAAAAATTGCCCAGAACAGAGTTGGATGGAGAATGCTGGTGAGTAACCTATACTCCTCGAGGAGCAGTAATAGGCGTAAGTAAGTAATTAATGGTCACCATAATTAATTGTTATGATAATGGAAATGTTAACTTAGAAGTGATTGAAAAGTTAATACAAGACATGGTATCTGTTCATGAAGTTACTGGTTGTGAAGTTGGTTTGTATTAGAAGATGATTAGCTTATAGTTGAATATGTGATATATAAAAGTTATATTTGAAATTTCATTAGTTCCAATTGGTTCACATTTTAAGGAGAAGAAGCTTTACATAGTTCACTGGGACTATCTGTCTGAACTTTTAGTGATTGTCGATTGTACAGTGTTGAACTGAATTAGAAGTTCTTCTTTATGAGTATTTTGATTTACGATAATGAATGTATCGTCGATGTAAATGCAGCATAGATCTGGTTTATTGATGACTTAATTAAAAAGTCAATTTTTTTTTAATGTTGTTAAGAAGAAAGCAGCTAAAACTGACCTCAAAGGTGATCTGATAGCGATCCATTTCAATTTGTCTATACTAACTACTGTTGAAGGTGAAATAGACGTTCAGAATACATCTTAGGAGTAATTCATTCAGACTATCGTTAGTAAAGCCAATGTTGATTTGCTTTACTGAGATTCGGTTACTTATGAATTCGATTGTCTCGGCTAGTAATAAATAACAGTGTGTGCTATAATATTTCCATTTGATCTGAAGATTAAATCCTAGCTGATATACCTGAATACTTCCAGTTTGATCATTGGCAATGTTTTGGATGATACTACTGAGGAATGTAATGTAAGAACGAAAAGAACTGTCAAGTACTCTATGCTTTTCAATAGTTGTTTGGTTCAAATAATTTCATAATGTAAATGACATTTATATTTAAGTGTCTGTTATCATATCGAGCTATGTGTAATACTACTTACATACTTACGCCTGATACTCCCAATGGAACATAGGCCGCCGACCAGCATTCTCCAACCCACTATGTTCTCACCCTTCCTTTCTAGTTCTATACAATTGTTGTTCACTCTTCTAATGTCTGTCTCCGCCTGGAGCCCATCTCAGGGTGCTGCCGGCCCCAAGCCCGGATAAAGGGGAAGGGTTGGGGATAGGGTTAGTGACTCCATCTTGTGGAGAACTAACTCGCTAAAAATACGCTAACCATCAAAATTAATTCAAACCATTTAAATTCTACCATGGGAGTTAGAAGGTCTTCATTCAGAAGAGTTATGACACCTCATGATGAAACATAAGTTCCTTCGGAAGTCACAAGGCTGATTTCCCTTCTAACAACCAGAGCAATAATTAATTTAGGTACATAGAATATTCGTACATTGTGGAAGATCGGACGAGTCATCCAAATTCCCGCAGAAATGAAGAGATACAATCTGGAGGTGTTTGGAATCAGTGAAACTCATTGAACGCAGGTTGGACAACAAAACTAACTTCAGGAGAACTGCCGGCATCATCCAGCTATGAATAATGTCTGTAGTATAACCAAACCTTATCACCTCGTACAAATTATCTATCTATCTAGTCTTTTTATCTAACCGCCTTTTTCCCCTCACTTTAAAATGATTAAATGAACAGAAATATAAAAGTATACAGTACTTTCTCCAATATTGAATACTTTCCATTTGATAATTTTCAAATATACATACCTGGGTGTGCATCATTCAATAAGAGATAAGAATATATGAGGAAGGGTATTAGATGGTGGATGAGATGGCACTCGTCATCAGTGTCGAGTCACCTAGACTGGTGGCCAAATTGCAACTTGATCAATAGCATTTGATCTGCACTAATAAGGACTTGACGCACATGAAATTGATCACCACCCAGTGACTAATCAATTGTAATTACATTTCAGTCCTATAGGAGGTCAGTCGCGGCCCGGATAGCTCAGTGGTAACGTCTCTGACTGTGATGCTGAGTGACACGAGATCGAATCCGTCAGGGAGCACCAGTTCTCTGAAGGTTACAGGTACACCTTGCTGACGAGTGCCAAGTTGCATGAAACCTGGGTCCAGGGTTTCCTGTTGACTACCTCCAACCACCATCTAATCTCAATATATAGTGCACGCAGTGTAGACTCACTTAGACTGGTGGCCACATTGCAACTTGGTCGATAACATTAGATCTACACTAATAAGGACTTGACACACATGACAGTGATCACAACTCAGTAATCAATCAATTGTGAGAAAGAGTATACCTATTCATACACAATTATAACACGAAATAGAATAAACTGGTTAGAATGATGGTAAACAAGTAGTTGGTATTCTTTTTTTTTAATGGATAGACAATAAGGAGAGATATAACCAGTTGCTTATCTCATTTGAAAATAATAATTGGAATAACATAATTTGATGGGAAAATGGTTGATTGATAGCATTTAATCAAGTAAGTGAATTGTAGGTTGCATTTATCATAGACTGATACTAATTGGAGTATAAAGTGAAAAAACTGAACAAAACATGGAACATTCAATAGGTGTTTCATCATAATATGAGACTCTTCAATAGTACATATACATTATCCTGTCAATGATTGAAGGTCAGGAAGTTCAAATTTACCAGTGAACACTTAACCATCACAATCACTGGGTAAAAATTCGATAGTAGAATTCAATCTCAACAATCATTCATTGTCATTGCGATTATCCAAAATATATTCAGTAAGTGTTTTCCAGTGATCAACAATCTCCATTCATCAACAATCATGAATAGTTTCTACTTGTTCCATTCATACAACTATATTCACTTCTATTCATTGAATATAAAAGAGGGTAACTTCTATTTAGTTGTTTATATTTTCTCCAAAAGACTGATAAGGAAAGAACTATGTAAACAATTGTGATGTTCCTATTTTAGTGGTCTAATAGCTAAGCGCTCGCGCGCGTAACTGATATGTACTGAGTTCGAATCTCACAAGGTGGGATTGTGGATGAGCACTGCTAAGCAATCCCAAAATAGGACGAAACGGTCGTCCAGTGCTCCCAGGTTTTCCATAGTGGTCTAGCTCCAACTGACTCATGATCTCAACCATTGAAATTACTACAATATCCACAAAACTCCTTTTGATATTTAAGATTTGTACTACGTAGTGTTCTGATAGTTTGTAAATGTTTTGGTAATAGTGTATGAGTATATAGAGTTAGTTAAGCAAATTTAGGGTAGGTTGATTTAATGAAATGCTCGCATAGTTGAGAAAAACGTGATCCAACTGTTGAATAGACAGTTCATTAAATTTGACTGAAATAATTTTTGATTAAGGGGATAAGTCTTCATTTCTAGCAAGTATAGCTTAACGAACAAGAACTTTATGAAGTGTGGACATTTTCTGGTCACTTCTATGCCTTTTTCTAATCTGTTATTATGACGTCTAGGATTGAACGTAGACTATTATACTTCAACTAACTGATCGACCGTCTTTATTTCATACTTAAATATTATAGTTATACACTCTTGTTGAGTCGTGAGATCATCTCACCAGCTCTTTAGTTAATATCACTCATTGATAGATATCTTACTTACCTATATACGCCTGTTACTCTTCATGGAGGAGCATAGACCACCCACCATCACTTTCTATCCAACCCTGTCCTGGGTGATAGATATCTGAATACATTTTATTCATTTGATCAATAGTTTGTCTAGTCATCATAATTCCTAGTTTTTTTCTCAAGTTATCATTCTGTTGACGTCGCTATCATTGAACTCGACAGTGATTTAATTATGAAAATTTCATTGTTTTTTTAAACAATATCATCAGTAAAACTCTAATCAAGAAATCATTGAAGTGACAAAATGATCAGAAATAAAATATAAACTAATATTCCAACGATATGAGGTGATCAAAACACAAATAGTTGCATTGTTTATAAAAGTTGTGACTTAAGGCAATATCACGGCAGTCCGTACAGGATGCACATATACCAATAAGAGACTGTCAATTGCAGCCCTTAACGTCTGTGACTTTGAAGCTGGGTGACACGAGATCGAATCCGTCAAGAAGCACCAGTTCACTCAGGATTAAAGGTACACCTTGTTGACGAGTGCCAGGTAGCACGAAACCCATGTCCAGGGTTTTCTGTTGACTACCTCCAACCACCATCTAATAACAATAAGAAGTTTCAAGCAAATAATACCAAGTGAATTTAATTGTAGTGTTCGTTTATTAAAACAGTTTCTAATAAGGGAAGAAGAGGGAGAATAAGAAGAAGAACGTCTGCTTTAAACACTTCTATCTGAAGTTTATGCTTATAATTTTATCCAGAACGATTAACACAAAGTTCATAGATAAACTCTTCAGTCCTAAGCAAAAAGGAGTATCATTGATCTGATGTAAAAAAAACTCTCTCCACCTTGATATAAACCATCATTAATCATGTTCTTTTTTAAAACAATCAATCAATCTACTGCTCAACACCATTCATCTTATATAAACTCTTATTAAGTTCCTTGTTTGTTGTTGTTGTCGTCGTCGTTGTTGTCGTTGTTGTTGTTGTTGTTGTTGTCGTCGTCGTTGTTATCGTTGTTGTTGCTGTTATGACTACGTTAATTTTAGTTATTCGGTTAACTCATGGTATTATCCTAATGGATAAATATTAACAGAACGTTTGTCTGTAATATGAAACCAATATGTATGTGACAATTTGACGATAACAAAAAGTGATTAAAATTTAAATCTTAAATAGAATCACTTTGACTTCGTTCTAAGGTCAAAGGTCATTGACATAATCAGATAAGAATATGAATGTTTCATACACCTCACCACCATCACCACCACCATGACTTATCATGTAAAACTATTTCGATTTAGACCATACAAACTAATCATCTGTCAATCAAAAATCGACTACACCTTGAATAAATCTTAAAGAGAATGGAAATTCAGAAGATTATTAACAAAGAAATGGTGAAGATTTAAATTAAGCTAATAAAATCAAGTTAGTATAAAGTATACAGTACAATTAGACTATTACTCACACTACTACTACTACTACTACTACTACTACTACGACTACGACTACGACTACGACTACTACGACTACGACTACGACTACGACTACTACTACTACTACTACTACCAATACTACTACTACTACTACTGCTACTACTACTACTACTACTACTACTACTACTACTACTACTACTACTACTACTACTACTACTACTACTACTACTACTACTACTACTACTACTACTACTACTACTACTACTACTACTACTACTACTACTACTACTACTACTACTACTACTACTACTACTACTACTACTACTACTACTACTACTACTACTACTACTACTACTACTACTACTACTACTACTACTACTACTACTACTACTACTACTACTACTACTACTACTACTACTACTACTACTACTACTACTACTACTACTACTACTACTACTACTACTACTACTACTACTACTACTACTACTACTACTACTACTACTACTACTACTACTACTACTACTACTACTACTACTACTACTACTACTACTACTACTACTACTACTACTACTACTACTACTACTACTACTACTACTACTACTACTACTACTACTACTACTACTACTACTACTACTACTACTACTACTACTACTACTACTACTACTACTACTACTACTACTACTACTACTACTACTACTACTACTACTACTACTACTACTACTACTACTACTACTACTACTACTACTACTACTACTACTACTACTACTACTACTACTACTACTACTACTACTACTACTACTACTACTACTACTACTACTACTACTACTACTACTACTACTACTACTACTACTACTACTACTACTACTACTACTACTACTACTACTACTACTACTACTACTACTACTACTACTACTACTACTACTACTACTACTACTACTACTACTACTACTACTACTACTACTACTACTACTACTACTACTACTACTACTACTACTACTACTACTACTACTACTACTACTACTACTACTACTACTACTACTACTACTACTACTACTACTACTACTACTACTACTACTACTACTACTACTACTACTACTACTACTACTACTACTACTACTACTACTACTACTACTACTACTACTACTACTACTACTACTACTACTACTACTACTACTACTACTACTACTACTACTACTACTACTACTACTACTACTACTACTACTACTACTACTACTACTACTACTACTACTACTACTACTACTACTACTACTACTACTACTACTACTACTACTACTACTACTACTACTACTACTACTACTACTACTACTACTACTACTACTACTACTACTACTACTACTACTACTACTACTACTACTACTACTACTACTACTACTACTACTACTACTACTACTACTACTACTACTACTACTACTACTACTACTACTACTACTACTACTACTACTACTACTACTACTACTACTACTACTACTACTACTACTACTACTACTACTACTACTACTACTACTACTACTACTACTACTACTACTACTACTACTACTACTACTACTACTACTACTACTACTACTACTACTACTACTACTACTACTACTACTACTACTACTACTACTACTACTACTACTACTACTACTACTACTACTACTACTACTACTACTACTACTACTACTACTACTACTACTACTACTACTACTACTACTACTACTACTACTACTACTACTACTACTACTACTACTACTACTACTACTACTACTACTACTACTACTACTACTACTACTACTACTACTACTACTACTACTACTACTACTACTACTACTACTACTACTACTACTACTACTACTACTACTACTACTACTACTACTACTACTACTACTACTACTACTACTACTACTACTACTACTACTACTACTACTACTACTACTACTACTACTACTACTACTACTACTACTACTACTACTACTACTACTACTACTACTACTACTACTACTACTACTACTACTACTACTACTACTACTACTACTACTACTACTACTACTACTACTACTACTACTACTACTACTACTACTACTACTACTACTACTACTACTACTACTACTACTACTACTACTACTACTACTACTACTACTACTACTACTACTACTACTACTACTACTACTACTACTACTACTACTACTACTACTACTACTACTACTACTACTACTACTACTACTACTACTACTACTACTACTACTACTACTACTACTACTACTACTACTACTACTACTACTACTACTACTACTACTACTACTACTACTACTACTACTACTACTACTACTACTACTACTACTACTACTACTACTACTACTACTACTACTACTACTACTACTACTACTACTACTACTACTACTACTACTACTACTACTACTACTACTACTACTACTACTACTACTACTACTACTACTACTACTACTACTACTACTACTACTACTACTACTACTACTACTACTACTACTACTACTACTACTACTACTACTACTACTACTACTACTACTACTACTACTACTACTACTACTACTACTACTACTACTACTACTACTACTACTACTACTACTACTACTACTACTACTACTACTACTACTACTACTACTACTACTACTACTACTACTACTACTACTACTACTACTACTACTACTACTACTACTACTACTACTACGACTACGACTACGACTACTACTGTCGAAATATTTTATCTTTATCGCTATTAGTGACTGTACGTTTATTTCGACTCCAATTCTGTTCAGCTGAGTGATATTATCACGTCATTTTCACATGGTTAATTGGGTTGAATCTATATACATTTGTGTCTAGCTGTATATTAACTATACTTGATTGATTATTTGTTTATTATTTATTATTATTATTATTGTTGTTTTTGTTGTTCGATTAGCGATTAGTTTGCGTGATTTCATTGTTATTTTATACTAACCTTAATCATAACTTATACTTTCACAACATCATTAATCTTACTTGTCTAAATATTGAAAATTCATTTGAACAGTTGAGATGATGAGTCGATTGAAACTAAACCAATATGGAAAACCTGCAAGTACTGGGCGGCCACTTTGTTCAATCACAGAATTCCTCGACAGTGAGCATCCACAATCTCACCTCCCGAAAGTCGAACCTAGCACCAATCAGTCTCGCGTGCGAGCGAACGCCTAACCTCTAGACCATTTAGCCGGCTGGCATCCAACGTTGTTATTGTCTACCTTCAACTAATCTATGAAATTCACCAAAACATCCATAATTGTCTTCAGTGAGTTACTATCTCACAACAGATTTAGTTGAACTGCATTGGTCACTTCTACTCACTAGAACTCCAGGATATACCTTTTGAATTCAGTCATTAATGAACTACTGATTCATATCAAATGGGGTTATTTTTCGATATTATAGTAATTTTAATAGTTGAAATCATTAGTTAATTCGTATGAGATGTATATAGCGACTCACGTGCAAATGGGTTTATTTTCATTTAACCCAGTTAAGCCCTTTTTGTTAACTTATTTAGCGGACAAAGCCATCCGCGCTATAGCAATGTATTGTATCCTTATTATTATTTTGAGCTTGTATGAAATACGTATGCTTGAATATTGATTACTGCCTACACATTTATTCACTCTGCTAGTCTTACTATTAACCGCTTATTCGATTCGATTACTCATTCATTTCACATGGTATATATATGTCCATGTTATTCATATTGAACACACAATCGCTCACTCGCTCGCACGGTCTCGTCACGCTCTTGCTCTGGCTCTCGTTCGCTTGCTTGCCTTTCGGCACAACTCTCCTATGCTTGTTTAACACATCTGTACATTTGGATATATGTGTGTGGTCTCACAATAAACGTAATCAACACTTCGTATTTGCCTTCTGATTAATATACCGTTGGTACGTTATATAGAACGGTTATCACGACGAACTGTATACGAAGTTTAAGGATTATATCAAATACCGACCACCACATGTACAATAAATCACCCTTCTTGTTTGTTTTTTTTAAAACCTTCAATGAATGCAGTTAAATTGTTTGTGTTTGATTTCTATCACTTAAATCCTTAATAAATCTTATCAATACAAGTGAACTATCTTACTCTCATTAATAATAATAATAAGAAGAAGAAGAAGAAGAATTGACTTGTTAAATCAAAACTTTCCATTACAACTTCATTGTCATCAATAATTAATATTTCTTCTCTTTTCTTTTTCTTTCGTTTTTGTTTGATAACGATAAATGTAGGTTTCTTCAAAAAGAAGTTAAATTAGTACCCTCTTTCTTCTCATCGGGGTGGATGGGGGCGGAAAAAAGGGTAATTGATATTCATTATAGAGATTTAATTTTTATTTGTGCGTGTGTGTGTGTGTGGGGGGGGGGTCTGTGTATGTGTAAAAACAAAAACTTAACAAAACTAGACAGATATTTTCACGTTATTATAAGACCATTCAGTAATGTGAACAAACGATAGATATCTCTCTATACAACATAAACTATTAAACTTTGATTAAAACGCCCACTATTGTTCTTTCATAGTTGGATTGTTATTCAAGTTGTTGTTATATCGTTTGATAGCAAAGAAATTAGAACATAAAAGTGTGTGTGTGTGTATGTGTGCGAGAGAGAGAGAGAGATAAGACCATATCGAGATCATTCTTTCATACATACATACACACAATCGTCACAAGAAACACAGGAATAGCGAGACAGAGAGAGAAAGAGAAAGAGAGAGGAATGAAAAGAATGGAAACCTTTAATAAAATGAACTAGTAATATCTATCTAATCTATCTAGATACAGATAGATAGATAGATTGATTATCATAGTTGATTTGACCTTAAACATTCATTATTCAATGTCAGAATTATCGGCAGTTAATTTTTTTCATTGGTAAGACATAATAGTGACAATGCAATTTACAGAATAATAATAATGATTATGTAATAATAACCAATTTCAATCTGAGAACTAAACTACATTGTTCATGAGATGGTAACGACATTACGGTGAACATGAACGAAAAAAACAACAACAAAATACTGTAACTGTGTTATTATGAGATTTACAAAATGAATGAATGAATGAAGTCATTTCTTCTGTATATACAATTGCCATTTTGTTAATTTAAAGTGAATAACGAAGAAGAAGAAGAAGAAGAAGAAGAAGAAGAAGAAGAAGAAGAAATGAGACAGGAAAGGAACGGATTCGAATTGGAATAGGAATTTGTTAATTGTTGTTTATAAACTAGGCAAAATCATAACTAGAATTTAATGAAACTCATTTGTTGATACTTGTTAGTGACCTCTTTTTTTTTCTTAGCACATTTGGGGGGATGGATGGGGTTGTTAAGCTCATGGCTAACCTTTCTTCTTTACTCGAACTTGGAATAAGTAGAAACCCTAAAAGAGATACAAGTGGATTGGATAAGAAATAAAATGCAAAAATCATTAAATGGAATCACGAGACAAGTGTTAATTTGAAATCCTGAAGGGAAAGTACAAAGAGGAAGGCCAAGTAACTCACTATTTGGGAATAGGAAGCAGACATGAAAATGATGAATAGTAACTGTAAAGGAATGTCCAGAACAGAGTTGAATAAAGAGTGCTAGCGGTTCATCTATGCTCCTCTGTGAATGGTAAACGGCGTAAGTACATTCTACCTGCGATTTGTGCTGATTATGTCGTTCAGAAGAACGACGAAACCTCCACGATTAAACCATCCAGCTCAGAGAACAAAACTCCATCAAAATTCATGTACATTCTTTAATGTTCTTAGATCAGAGTCTGACTAAAATGAAACTTACTTACTTACTTACTCCTTTTACTCCTTGTGAAGGAACATAGGCCGCTCACCAGCATTCTCCATCCAACCCTGTCCTGGGTAATCCTTTCCAGTTGTTATTCATCCTTTTCATATATGCTTCTATTTCCCGACGTAATGTGTTCTTTGGCCTTCCTCTTTTCCGCTTACATTCACGATTACAAGTTAGGGCTTGCTTCGTGATGCAGGTTGATGATTTGCGTAATGTATGTCCTATCCATTTCCATCGTCTTTTCCTAATTTCTTCTTCAACTGGGATCTGGCTTGTTCTCTCCCAGAGAAGGCTATTGCTGATGGTATCCGACCAATGGATGTTGAGTATCTTGCGAAGACAGCTATTTATAAATACTTGTACTTGTAGAATTATGGTCTACTACGATATTAGTACTGCTCTAATAATAGACCTAATCCTAAATTTGTAGATTTGTCATGATATAACTGCCTAATCTATAAGATCTTACGTGGAAATCATACCATCGACTACACCAACTCACTGTATTGTATCAATTACCAATACATGATGTAGAACAAGGTTAGGCTAGAGAAAGAACAATATATTTAATATGAATAGAAGATATAAGGTAACATTCAGCAGAGACCACGCCTGCATGGCCGAGCCATGCCACTCGATCAACTCCAGTTCATTCCTTTCATTGTTCCCGCCTTTTTCATTGGTAGGTAATTCTCCGTGTTAAATATTGAATATCTATTTTCTGAGTAGTGTTGTGTTCAGCTTTGAAGATTGTGTGGATATGGTCTAATGCCACTACACTACTCTCCCACCAGAATCAACGTGATGTTGGTTCGATACCAAACTGGATGGGATCGTCGCGCGCCGGAGGTTACCAAGGGCAATAAGGATCCTCCGGGTATTGATAAGCTGAAAAAGAAATAAAAGAGACGGCAGCATCTGGTCGGAAAATACATGTAATAATTTTTTAAAAAATCTGCCTTCATGCTTAACACACTTAAAATGACAGTTCGGGTGAAGATCATTTGAACTATAAAGAATGGGATTACAGTAATAATAATAAAACAATGCGTGTTAATAGCCGTTGGTTAGTAACTTTACATATAGGTAGTAAGTATTTTGTGTTCATTGATGATGCTTCCCAGGAATGTGAAGGATTCTACATCTTTCAGAGTTTTGCCATCAAGAGTGATTGGATTGCTGTTCTCCGTGTTGTATTTGAGGACTTTGGTTTCCCCTTTGTGTATGCTGAGGCCTACTGATGCAGAGACTGCTGCCACACTGGCTGTCTTTGTCTGCATCTGTTCGTGTGTATGCGATAGGAGGACTAGGTCATCTGCGAAGTGCAAATCGTCTAATTGATTTTGAGCTGTCCATTGTATTCCGTGTTTTCCTTCAGATGTCGAGGTCCTCATAATCCAGTCGACCACCAGAAGAAAGAGGAAAGGAGAGAATAGACAGCCTTGTCTGACCCTGGTCCTTACTTGCAATGCGTCTGTCAGTTGTCCTCCATGCACGACTTTGCATTGTAGTCCGTCGTGTGAGTTCCAAATAATGTTGACAATCTTCTCAGGAACTCCGTAGTGTCGAATAAGTTTCCATAACGTCCTCCTATCTACACTGTCAAATGCCTTTTCACAATCAATGAAGTTGATATACATTGAAGAGTTCCATTCAATTGATTGTTCGATGATGATCCGTAGTGTTGCAATTTGGTCTGTGCACGATCGGTCCTTATGGAATCCAGATTGTTGATCTTAAAGTTGAGCGTCTACTGGTTCTACTGGTCTACCGGTTCAGCAACACTCTGTTGAAGACTTTCCATGGTATTTACATTACTGTAATGCCTCTGTAGTTTTCACATTTGCTGAGATCTCCTTTCTTTGGAATCTTGATGAGGTGTCCTTCTTTCCAGTC